CGACAGGGGGGTACAGCCGGCCCTGCCCAGCGGCCGGCGCGGGGCTCGGCAGCTTTCGCGCGGGGTTCTGTATTTTTGTAAGGAGAAATAGAAAATAAAAAGAAATCCGCTCCTGCGCTCGTTCGACACGGGCCGGCGGCGGTGGGAATACGCTAGTGACTCCCTAGGGCTACGGGAGGAATGTCTGCTCCAGGGGCAGGCGCGGGGTCCCTTCTCCTAAGCGATGACACAGCCTCCCTTCTCCTTGAAGGGGTTCTTGTCCTCGGGAACCCCCTTCACCAGCGGGTCCTCTCCCGACCGCTCCTCGATGTAGTTCTTGATCTCTTCGGAGCATTTGGACACCTCGAGGGAAAGGACAGAAAAGTGGCTGCGTTACGGCCGTGGAAAGTGCTCATCAGAGAGGGAAATTACATTCTGTCAGTGAATTTAAATTCTCTCTCATTCACTTTCCTACCAAGCATAAGCACTAAGCACGTGCAGACTCAGCTTCCTTCCTCTGTTTTCACAGCCCGATATTGACAGAACATGTGAGTATCTCTGAGAATGTAAACGCCACTCCGAGCAGCATAGTTAAACCTGTGTTCATAATCAGCCAATCTAGTTTTATTAAGCTGCGGATCACGCTCTTCCCTCAGCACCAGCGTGACTTCCGGTCAAGAGTTTCAGGGTTAGTGACTTTCAATTCAGTTTCAAAGTATATGAATACTTTATGTATAGTTTTTCACAAACAAAACATTGAGCAACGATTTTTCAGTGGTAATCCAAATTCTTACTCTGCAGTTGTGCTATAGCAATGATGCACCTTGAAGGAGAGTCTAACTAGAAAAGACAATTTATTTACTGTTTACCTGGAGTTATTTCTAAGAATGGCTAATAAAATAGCCTGTTGTGTTATGAGACCATACCACTTCCCATAGGATTCATACCAAACTAGCACTGATTAAGGTAAGCCTGCACAGAACCCACGCTTGGAGAAGAAGTGTGTTTAGTTTCTGTTCACTAATACAGGAGCACATGTGCTAATGGTGTCTTGGAGTCTGAGGGTGCACAAGTGAACATCTGGGGCTCCTGAGGTTCCTTGTGCACACACATCTTTTGCTCCCTGTGTCAGCAGAAACAGTCCCTAGATGCTCTAATAACCTGCCATGCCTGAGGACACACTTCTGCTATGTCCCCACTTCCTCCCTTCCTACCCAAAGGCCCTGCAGTGTAGAATCAGATTCTGCTGTGCAGAATCAGCAGCAGGAGCCAGCTGTTGGCCAGGCCACAAGATGATTAGTATTTCTAATTTGAGGCACCTTGCCTTCTCTGTTAATTATATTTTAACTCAAAATAAGACTACAACAAGAGAAATTTACCTGCTGTGTCACAGACAACAGAGCATGGCCTGTGCAAAATTAAGCTTTAAGCTATCAGAAAGAACAGAGTTAACTCCCAATTAAACAGTGCATAAAGTAAGATCTAGCTGTCTTAGGGCAAAGAAGAAGCTGGATCTACAAATCCCATTACACGTGCCTTGTTCTTCTCTACCTTGGAAACTTTTTTCATTCAAATTGGAGCGCCTAACACCATAGTAAAGTTGAATGCCAAAGCATATGAAGGACCAGGGTTTGTTTTACTTCAGTCAGCACTGCCAGGATCACTTTCACTTATAGGAAAATAAGCCTGCTTAAATAAACATTTAGAAATTTTTATTCATTCCAAAGGACAGTTCCTTTTTATTCTGTAAAGTTGTTAGTGGGGGTCAGGGAAAATTTTGACTGACATTTTTATTTTGGTACCAACAGTAATTTGGTTTCTGCATTTCCCAATCCCTGTAACACCCATACAGGTACCAGGGGACTCTGGAAACTACAATACAGATTTCATTCTCACAGTGAAACTTCTGTTACAAAGCACTGGTAAAATTGAGCATGCTGTCTGTGCTTTACTACAGGAAAATTGAAAAATATCCATTTTCCTAAAGTGATCAGGGTTTTGGTTTATTCCAAAAATGTAGACAAGTATTTAAGATTATTATTATTTCAAAAACTTTACATCCTGCAGATGTATTTCAGTTGTCTAAGAATCCTCTGAGAGACAATATAGGTATCTACACCAGTTGGATGTTCAGCCCCCAGTACTGCTGGAGCTTTAGACCATAGCTTAACATCTACAATCACCTAACTCACAACTAAAACATAACTCCAACATTCTTATTTTCTGGGCTAAAACCTAAACCTCCAAAAAAATCAACATGACTAATGCTACTGATTCCCACATATAAATGTATTTTTGGTCCTAGCTAGAAGTGGTTTTTAGGTTTAATTTGCTTCCGCTGGCATGCAAAATTTAAAAAAAGAAAAAAAAAAATTTAAAAAAAAATATTTTCATCGTGGAGCAAGATCAGTTCTGCACATCTCTCGTCTATAGAAAATGTACAAACCCATAAACTTTTAAGGGGCAAGTACTTGTGGGAAGGAACAATTAGTGTAAATGTGTAAATATTTCTATGGAACAAGGCTGGGTGGGTGACGGCTGGGCACGGGCGGTGCTCTGGCTCCTGCTCTCCGCCCGGGCACTGCACAGCATGGGAAGCGGGGCGGGGACGCGGGCGGCCGAGACACAGCTACGGGCCGGGGCAGGGCGGAGTGCCGTGACAGGGCTCCCCTGGCTTCTTTCGGGGGGACCATCCTCCCCTAGCACCCCAGAGCCTTCCGCTTACAGGAGCGGGGAGCAGAGCGCGACGTGCTCCTCCCTCGCCTGGCAAGGCTGCCCTGTGCCGGCCTTGGGCGCCAGGGACTCACGGGGAGGGGAAGTTAAGGGGTGCCAAATCCACCGGGAACAGCCCGGCGGGCAGGCCCGTGCCAGCCCCTCGGGGCGCTTTATCCCAGGGTGGTGCGCTCCTTGCCCCGGGCTCCGCAGTCACCCCCGGGAAGGAGCGGCGCTCCTCGGCGGCGTTAGCGCTGCTGTGCCAACAGCGCCGTCCCCGGCCCCGACCCAAAGCGGTGGCAGGACCCGTCGGTGCCAGCCGCGGCCGTCCCAGAACAGCCGGGGATCTAC